TATATACAGAAATGATCTAATGAGCACCGGTGCTCATCTTATCCTAAACACCAATGAGTTGGCACATTAATTCATTGGTGGATTGGAACTCACAAAATCTTTATCCACCAATGAATTAATGTGCCAACTCATCGGTGCTTAGGATAAGATGAGCACCGGTGCTCATTAGATCATTTCTGTATATATATATATTGCACGTTCATTTAGGTCGAATATTGTCACCTGTTAAATTATATTTAGAAAATTGTCATTTGTTAAGACTATAAAAAGAATTTGTTTGATCGTGCAATTTAATATATCTGTACAACTTTATTATGATATTGTTGTTTAGATGATATGATATTGAGATTTTGTTACGTCAGTAATTTGTACGAATTTCCTAGTTCCTATTTGGACTCCAATAAAAAATTAGTTTTTAGGGTAAATACATTTTGAAATAGTGAATTTTTAAAGAACACGTGGATAAAAAGAAACAAAATTTTGAATTTACTTGTAATATTATTTTATTGAATAATGTGTGATTGAAAAGAAAAAACAGAAAAATGCAATAAAATCCAAAAAGGAAATAATATAAGGCTATCGTTATATATATCTCTGTGTGTGTGTTGTCTCCATAAATATCACGTTGCTCGTTGCATTAAGTGTCTGTTTGAGCCTCATTATTTCTTTAGAATGCATTTTAAAATAATAGATTGATAGAGAATATGATTAAAAAGTGAAATAAAATAAGTTTTGGGTTAACTTGTAATATTATTTTATTAAAAAACGTATGGTTGAAAAAAAATAAAGAAAAATGTATTTTAATGAAGATCGAACAATGACTAAAAGAAACTGCTTGTTTGAGTCCCATTTTCTTTTGAGAGTGCACTTTAGAATAGTAGATAGATGAAGAATGTGTGATTAAAAATAAGAATTTTTTTGGCTTGTATGTAATATTATTTTACTGCAAAACGTGTAATGGAAAAGAAAAGAGAAAAATATATTTTGGAAATAATAAAATCAAAAACCTACTCTGTATTAAGATACAATTATTTTTAATATTGAATTTAATGACATTGGGAGAATTGAGAGGAAATATTGAAAATTCAGCTCGAATTTCAAGATTCTAAAACATAGTAAACCCCGCGGTTCTTATAAAACGCGTATTTAAAAATAATTTTAAATTTAATGAAATATGTGATTAAATTATTTTTTTAAAAAAAAAACATTACAGTGCTAGATTTTGTGATAATTGTAATTTCTGCAGCCACTTATAACTTGACACGAGTCTATTGAGACAATGACAGTTGACTTTTAATGATCAATAATAAAAAGGTCAAAGATTGAATGGTTCCAAAATATAATTTAATAATATTTGAGACCTCGTTTGGTGCGATTCAAATCTAAATTTTAATTTAAATCAAAGTCAATAATTCATTTCAACCACATATTTTATGGTTTTCACTACTTTTCTACCACACATTTCATCTTCTATCAAAATCTACTAAAAATCTGATTTTAATCCCCACCAAACAAGACTACGAATCTTGTACATTAGACTTGCTACAATTGTTTTTGTTCACTGCTTAATTAATACAATTTGATGGAAAATATTATTGTTTCTTGACACTAACACTTGCCATTGACATTCTAGGAAATTTCGTACATAAAATATTTATATAAAACTAGTTTCAATATTCGTGGAGAAAGAATATATATAGTCCAAGTCCAGTATATCTATAAAATATTTTGAACGTGTAACCAAAGTAAAAAATAATGGAAAAAGGTACCCAAAAAAAAGAGAAAAAAAAATCATCCATAATGTTTTATTTGAAATTCCAGAAATGCCCTGCTAAAGTATTTTTAATGCAAGAAATAATGGGTTGAGTGGTCATTTCCCATTCCACTAAAATTATTGGGTGATGAAGCATTCAACAATTGCGGCTGAGTTGGGACCCATGAAATTGTATACTGTTCCAATTCTTACTAAAAATACTGGGATAATCGCGACTAGACAAATGCCATTTATTATCGGTGATGACAATGATCATAAATATAGCGACCAGGGGCGGACCAATGAAACTCATGTTTTGTATGTAATCTTTTTCTCTTTCATCTTGTTACATATTCTTCAATCTCATAGAGTTGGATGGTTAAATTTCCTTCCCACTTGAATATAGCTTGCCAAAAGGGTTTGGAGATGATTTGACAATTGA